CAAAATTTGTACCAACCTCTACTCCTCTCTAAAAGTGCGATACATCATATGAGTACTCAGTTCAGCAGGTTCAGCAAGTGCTAACTGATCCCAATATCCAGTCATAACTGAGTAGAACTCCTGAATGTTCTTATCACCCTGACATGTAGCTCGACTTTCATGCTCTAACTGATACCTCTTTGCAAAATTAGACTGAACAAATAAGGTAGCTAAATTATCTCAAATCTCCTTGGCTATATTAAACTTAGTCAAATGAACACCAATTGTCTGATCAACTGAGTTGTTAATCCAAGTGATGATTTTAGCGTTGTTGATTTCCCAAGTATTCTTTAAGTCAACATATTTCTCGACCTTAGGATCAGTTGGAGCTGATGAATCACCACTAACATATCTCTACATTTCCTTACCCAACAAAAAATTTTTCATAACATAAGCCCAATATACATAGTTCTCACCTTTTAATCAGACACTGATAGTCTGAAGAGAATCAAAATTTCCACTGACCATAATACCCAAATCAAGCAATCCAAAGCAAATATTAAAGTAAACAAACAAAATCTAGCAACTCAATAACCTAGCAAAATCCAACAACCCAACACCCAAATAGCAAATAAAGGCCCAACAGAAAATCAAAGCTCAACAACTTTGTAAATCAAATACTCACCCAGCTGTTCGTTCACAAAATCAGTCTCAAAGGCTCAACCCCACCAATCAGTAAGAAAAGAAACAAAAATTTTCTGTTTATTCAGTGCGAAACAATGCAAATAAACCCAAACAATGCAACGCTATGTCAAATAGCAAGCCCAAACAAACAATGCAAACAAATCCAGACAATGCAACGCTATGTCAAATAGCAAGCCCAAATTAACAGAAGAATAGCCAAACCAGAACTAGCCCCAAACTAGCAGTAGCCAAAATTAACAAACCCTAGTAGTTAGGATTTCTTACCTTGCAAAGACTAGTTTAACGAGAAAGACCCAACAACGAGAAGCAACAATAGAAGAGAGAGGCGGCCAACGTCAAACAATGCAAAGTTTGTCACAAATCAAATCAACAATTTTGCAAATCAAATACCCATAACAGTCGAAGTCGGCACTGTTCACAACACGTGAACAGTAACTTCGACACTGTTCACACCGTGTGAATAGTAACTTCTGCACTGTTCACAGCCCTTAGAACCACAAAAATAAATCAGCAACCCTAATTCAAGAATAAATCGTCATAAATGATATCAACCCTAATCTAAGAATATATTCTTTCCCCAACTAAATTATTGTGGTGCTACAATATATTTTGGATCAAAACTATGCTCTGATACCATGTTAACTTTGATCAATCATAGAAAAGTAAGAGAAAGAAGAAGAAAATATTATTAAGGCACAATAAGCCAAAAGCCAAAATTTTTATATAATATGGCAAAAGAAAAACAATCAGACTAAACTAGGGCAACATAAAAGTAAACAAAATGACTAAGCTACCCCTAAGTCTAAATAACCTAACTACTCTAACAGTACCCATACCCGTATCACGTAACAAAGCGACTCACTATCCAGGTAACATTGTCTCAAACTCTATATGAAGCCAGTAACTAAGACTTCAAGAATGAGATGCCCTCAAAACCATCTCCAACAATAACCATCCACACATCACTGAAAAAAAAATATGACCAACAAAAGTAGAATGACACATAGAGGAATCATGATCACTCGAACGAAAGCTCAAATCACAGATCATGGTAAGGAATATCTCAAACCAAGCCCGAGAAGTTTATTTTGAGATGATACAAAACGTTTCTAAGTCAGCATACATTAACCACAAGATTAGGGGGAAGGCAGGAATAGGAACCATAAAAACCTCTTTTGTGAGAAACCATTTAGAGAAGCGTTCTTGACACCAACATGAAACAATTCCATTGATGAACGTTTGTAACAATTATCAATGTACAAACAATAGTCATCTTTGCAAAATTTTGCTGAATCAATTTCATTTCCTATGTAAAATCATTGGTAACCAATTTGACATTGTATCTTTCAACTGAACCATCAACCTTGGTTTTAATCTTATTCAACATTTTTTAGCGTTTTGTTGTCAAATGGGAGGGAAGAATGGGCTTTCTAGACATTTACTTTATTTCCCTTTCTTTTATTATACTCATGGTTGGATTTCTTGTCTAATATTTTGTATTTTTACTTTGCTTTAATCAACTTGTCGTTTCCTAGAACAAAGTGCACAACTTAGTTATATAATTAGAGACCATAGAATGACTGATCCAATGGTGAGAAAATAAGTTATTGAGATGCACTCAATGTCATAGTTCAGTTAACAAAATGGACAAAAGGGGTGGATGCAGTGGTAGATGTCTCCAATTGTGACATAAGATGACAGATATTCTCCTTTCCTCCTGAAAAGAAGTCAACGATACTGGGTGAATGATACAAGCCTGAAGCCTCTTCCTCTACCGTCCATGTTGAAGACCACTATGAATCTTCCATCCAATCTCGCTATTATGTCTAGACTTGGTGTGATAATAACAGTAACTTGTACTTAACACTAGAAGCAACAATACTTAAATGATCTTTTTCAAGTTTTCTACTTCCTAAACAAGTGATCTTGATGTGCAGCAGTATCCATGGTTCAACTCTCCTGTAGCACAGAGTGAAGCATGAATCCCCGCCTACTTTCCTCAAATTGAGTGTCAACATCTCATGTAAAGAAAGGAGAGGCCCTTTCCAATATTTGAAGTCTAACTTAATCATGCTCAGGATTCAAGCAGAAAGTTCAATAATCCTCCTGATTCCCTATTCAACCAACTTATTGTAATTTTGATGCATCTTAGCACCCACCATGACTCCATCTCTGGCCTCTATAAGTGGTCCAACTCTTTCCACGACCCCCATAGAGTATGAAAGTAGGTCCCTAAAGCTAAGTCTTTATATTTGCTGTGGTGAATCTGACATTTTAGTTCAAAAACCTACAAAATTCCCCATCTTCCAGTAGGTTTGAAATACTGCCACCGAAATCTCTTTCTCAGTGCATAACAATAAATAGCCATTATTTATCTTTTGTCGCGCGGAGTAAAGCATCAATATGATGTAACTGTGGAACTCTCAGCCTCCCTCTTATATTTATACTGACTGGAAGTCTCAATCCAAACTAGAAAAATACCCTTCCTCATAGTAAATAAAAAAACATGTCCCACTTCTAAGAGGGGAACCATAGGTAATGGGAATTGGACATTTGGGCGGCATTTATTCTTTCACAGAGATGAGCAAGGTTTTGTATTTTGGTCCAGATGTTAATGGTTGATTGCAATAACAATAAGTTCATAAACGACATCTGACATCGATGTGAATATTTATTCTTTCACAGAGATGAGCAATGTTGAGTGAGTTTGGTGGAGATGTTGATGCTTGACAGCAATAGCAATAGCAGCGAGTTTCATAAACATGTGATCTTGCATCCTTGTATATTATTCAGTAATTCCATCAGAGGATGCAAATTATGTTAACTTGTCACTCTTTGGTTAAAATTTGATGCAGGCGACGATTCCTTTTCTTCCAGTGGTTAATAATCCACCATATTTTATTTATTTTGAGTTTCTCAAAGTTGGAAATGGAGACAATAATATCATGCAAGCTCTGATACTAAATTATGAATCACCTCCTTATGGTTTGCTCCATAACTCAGGATGGAGTTCTCTTTCTCTGTCCCTCAAATCCTGATTCCCCTCATTCCCTTCCTTTCTAAAAATATCATCTTCTTAGCTCCCTTTTTTCACATTTTCCCATCTATTTGAATCTTCTTTTTTTTTTTTTTGCAGTTTTATTAGCCACCTGACTGTTTATCTTCCATATTATTCTTCCTCTTGAATCTTCAATGAATCACATCAAGGACAGCAGATTACAATTTAGGATTGAAAGTAACAGCTCTAGGGTGGTAAGGTTGGAGAAACAAATAAACTTTGGACTTCAAATTATTGAGAAAAGATGAAGGACTTCTTTTGTTATGGAGATTCCTGTGGAATGTGGGAAATGGTTGGGAGAGTGTTTGAGAAATGTTGGACGCTTCAGGATCTATGTTTAAGAAACTCAAAGACAATGGCTTTGTTTTGTGGGTGGAGGATATTAGAAATAACAGATAAAGCTTTTTTAAGTGTCTAAGCAGGNTGGAGTTCTCTTTCTCTGTCCCTCAAATCCTGATTCCCCTCATTCCCTTCCTTTCTAAAAATATCATCTTCTTAGCTCCCTTTTTTCACATTTTCCCATCTATTTGAATCTTCTTTTTTTTTTTTTTGCAGTTTTATTAGCCACCTGACTGTTTATCTTCCATATTATTCTTCCTCTTGAATCTTCAATGAATCACATCAAGGACAGCAGATTACAATTTAGGATTGAAAGTAACAGCTCTAGGGTGGTAAGGTTGGAGAAACAAATAAACTTTGGACTTCAAATTATTGAGAAAAGATGAAGGACTTCTTTTGTTATGGAGATTCCTGTGGAATGTGGGAAATGGTTGGGAGAGTGTTTGAGAAATGTTGGACGCTTCAGGATCTATGATTAAGAAACTCAAAGACAATGGCTTTGTTTTGTGGGTGGAGGATATTAGAAATAACAGATAAAGCTTTTTTACGTGTCTAAGCAGTCCTTGAATGGTAGACTGGATTGTTTGATGCAACCTAAAGGTTCCGATGGTTGGGCTGGAGAAGACTTGGAGAACTGATTTTCGAAGCTACCAAGAAATATAGAGATTATAAAGGGGGCTTGGAGGATGACACAAAAGTGGGGTGTGATCGATACCATGAACAAGGGAGTCCTGTGGCAGAATTCTGAATGTAGAAAGATTGAGAGATGCTGCTAAAGATAATCAAAGCTTAGTGCAGTACAGCAATTGGAACGGTTTTGTGGTACACATTAGGGAGAGTGTGTTTGATTCGTGGGGAAAGATTCAATTCGCAATGTCAAAAATGTAGAATATATTGAGGTTGTTGCCTTTTCCTGCCAATGTGGCACTTTTCTTCTGTGACAACGAGGAATAGATTAACAATATCAGTAAATCTGAAAATTGCTTCTTGGAAGGTGGCTAGATGGTGAGGCTCCAGAAATGGGTTCCCGAAGCTAATGTTATTCGCTAGAAGGTCGCTTTCTTCGGAGGTCGGGTTGCAGTGAGCCGATTGCCCTTTCATCACTGGAAAATGGAAGCATTTCAGGAGATTTGGGATTGTTGTGGAGGCTTCATCGAAGTCAACAGTGATCAATTTACATGCAAAATTTGTATGAAGTGAAGATTATGGTTGCCAAACCAGTCTCGGGACTCGTCCTGACCTCTTTAAGCCTTGATTTAGCAGGTAAGGTGAAGGTCAGGGTATTGGGCAGAAGAGGATGGAGTGATTTCAGGGGTCGCAATAGTCTGGTTGCTGATGGTAGGAAGCAACCTTGGTGCACTGATCCTAATGTTGAAGGCGATAGGTTTCAGAAGAAAAGAGCACATGGCAGCTGAGCAATGATGGTAGCACAAAGAAATGATGATACTGATAGGAGTTTTGGTTCGGGGTGAATGGTGCAATAATTAACGATTCAAATTTGAATGAGTCATTAATAAGGATAATATGGGTTTAAAAGTGGTAAGTGGTTTTAATTGTAGATGCCCAATGAGTAAGGATCAGGAAGGTGAGATGGGCCTTGTTAAGGATAATTGGAATGGTAATTCTATTATTGGCATGAAAGTGGGCTTGAGGACTTTGGATAATAATGCATCAATATCCAACCATGTAGACCCAAAGGACGGGCCTTCATTTAAAAAAGTTGTGATGAATACTGGCTGAAGGATCCGGATTTTAATTCGGGTAAATCGACCAAGGGTTTTAAGCTGAAAGGACTAGGGGAGGTTTCAGTTGAGGCTAACAAGGATGGCCTGAAGCGAAAGGAGCAATGGTCTGATTGTAGAAGTGATGAAGGTCTTGATAGAAAGATCTATGGAATTTGAAGGAAGGACTCATGAAGCAAACAAACTCCGACGAGATTGATGAAAGGGAATTCGACATAGATGATCAACAGGAAGCACTTGATGAAGCAAAGGGTGAAGAACTGAAAGAAGGTAGTTTCGATGTAAATGAGGGGTGACTCGATGCAGATCTGTCCTACAACTATGTAGTTTCTCTATTGAACCTGATGAAGTAGATGGGGGTAGCTATAATGAGAAGTTGAGAGTTGTTCATTCCAAGGATCAAAATATCATTTCGAAACGGTCGAAACGTCTGAAACGTTTCCGTTTTAAAACAGACCGAAACGAAACAGTGATGAAATTGAAACTCTAATATGTCGAGGTATTCCATAATATTTTTAAATATATTATAATAGTTCAATACATTTGCACAATTGTTTTAAAAATTTTCAAGGTATTTCAAGATACTTTGATATATTTCCATCAATGTTTTAAAAACATAATTCTTAAATTTTTTATTTTTTTCATTATATTTTCAAAATAGGTCGAAACGTTTCTGAAACACGTCGAAACGTTTCCGTTTCCTAGGTGATCGAAACAATACACCAAACGATATTTTGATCCTTGGTTCATTCCATTGTTGGCATTGGGGAGCCATTTGATGAGAATGAGGTTGAATTAAAAGCGACGGATGCACAGGTAAGGTTGGACCAAGAGCTACTGTCTGGCAGGTGCCTTAAATCTCCGGCTGGGTATTTTGGGCCTGAAAAATCATCTCTAATGGGCGAATTAAAAGGGTTGGCGGGGGGAGGTGGAAAATTAAAGCAGGGGGGGTCTCTGTATACTGGGGAGGGTTTTTTTTTGGTCTTTCTTCTTCTTCTGATTCTCCTATTCTTTGTGAACTAGCAAATTCTGTGCATGGTTTTTCTGAGAATATTGGCCTGGGTCCTAATTTATCATAGGTTATGGAATCAACCGAGGGGATTGGTAAGAAAATAGTTCTTTCTGATAATTTTAGTGCCACAGAACTTCAACCTATTAAGACTGTTGGGAACCAATTAGGTATGGAGGAGGGCATCAGATGATTGGGGATGGTGTGATTCAAGTACAGGAGAGTAGAATAGGTTCAGAAACTTACATCATACTATTAATTACTTAATACAATTATATATAAATCATACTACTTAACACACACAAAGACTTAAAATTTTCTCCTGAAATTCTCTAAAAATTCAGTTTTGCGAGTAAGATGAATACTCTAAAACTTCATAACAAAGAGTTGCAGTAAGTTTAAACAAAAACTACCAATATCACTTAGTACCTAAACTTTTATCATCCACTTGGTAATTTTCATGGGCATCACATCAAATTGGGTCCACATTTGACCCACCAGTTCAATTATTCACATGGGCAGCACCAAGGATCAAAATTTAATTTTGAAACAGCCTAAACATTTCTGTTTCTATGGAGTTCGAAACGAATCAGTAGAGTCAAATTTTCTTGCTTCGAGGTGTTTTGAAATGTTTTCAAGTGTTTCAAAATATTTCAGCGTGTTTCCACCAATGTTTTGAGATGTTTCAAGATGTTTTAGTATATTTCGAGCAAAGATTTATAAGGTTTTGAAAATAAAATCTCAATTTTTTATTAATTTTCATCTGTTGTACAAATGTTTTCAAAATATTTTCAAAACGTTTTTGTTTTTTAGGTGACTAAAACACCAAAACAAGATTTTGATCTTTAGACAGCACATAAACTTGGCTCCACCTTGGACTAGCCATTATTTGATCCACAAGAATTCCCACTTGATCTTTGCCCAAAAATTTATCCATGGCTTCACCTTAATAATACGATTCCATAGTGTTCTCCGAATTTTAATATAATTTTTCATTCTCCACGAAAAGAACATCACCACCAATAGAAATTAGCTATCAATTTTGAATAACTACAAGTAACAATGGGCGGCCTAGTGCACGAGGCAACTGCCACTACTGGTCTTGCGAGGGTTAGATATACGCATCCAAAAAGATAATAAAAATTTGATAAACAGCTTAATCCAATTGATGTCGATGCCAACCTTCCCCTCCCCACCTTTTTTCAATTCAAAACGAGAAATAAAAAATTATATCAGCACCCCAGTTTAGTGAATAGCCAGGAGCCTAAAAATTTAGCTCATATATCATGAGGGGTAAAGGCAAGGAAGACAATTGTGGCAACAAAATCAATCATTCAGTGCTTAAAATGAGTGAATAAAACTACCTGGGTTGGCTTTGATGATTGACATGGAGCATATCCACGCCTTAACTTAATTCCATTCCCTCCAAAATTAATGACGCTAGAAAAACCAGAAGCATCAACATTGAGCCAAGCCTCCCATGTATCATCCTCTCCAGTGAATAGGGCATGTAGTCCCTACATGCAGAATGCTGAATTATATAACAGTATAATTTAATAATTCAGACAGAACTATTTTTCTTCTATTACAAAATAATGTCATACAGGAGTGGAGCCTTGCAAATCAACTCGAGCGGCAAAAAGTCCAGATGGTTGAAATGTTCTTCGATGCCAAACCTAAAGGTAACCATTTGAACTTCGTGTGTCATTCTCTTAACATAAGAATTAAGGATGAATATCATAACCTCCAAATGAAAGGAAAGCAAACATTTAGCAGAACACAGGTAGAGACAAATAAATTCCAACTACTGAAAACTCATAAAATAAAATAAAAAAAATTATGAACTCAAAAACAAAAAGAAATGCATGTTAACATAGAGTCCTACTCCTAGTCAATTAGGTACTCATAGTTCTCGTATAGATGTAATAGTCAGAAACAATGAAACTACAACATGAAGATGCATTTGTGGGCTATTTTA